AATCTGGTCAGATGAGACCAAGATAAACTTGTTTGGATCAGATGGACGAAGATATGTGCGTCGTAAGGTAGGAGAAAGATATAATTTGAAAAATTTAAAGCCTACTGTTAAACATGGCGGAGGGCATATTATGGTTTGGGGTGTTTTAGCTCTAATGGCACTGGAATGTTAACGATCTTTGAGGGAAATATGGATTCCCTTAAATATACTAGGATAATCGACTCTTGTCTTGCATTGTCAGCTTCAAAAATGGGTCTTAATGGATATGAATTCCAACAAGATAACGATCCAAAGCATTGTTCATGCATTCAAGAGAATATTTCAGAGATAAGAAGATTATTGTGCTAAGCTGGCCATCCCAATCACCAGATATGAATCCAATAGAACATCTCTGGACTCACCTGAAAACAAGAATAAGGGAAAGACAGCCAAAAAACATTGATGAGTTAAAAAGGATAACGCATGAAGAATGGGACAGGATTGATCCGGATTTCTGCAAAAAGTTGGTCGAAAGTATGCCAGATCGAGCTGAAACACTTTATAAAGCAAAGGGCGGGCATACAAGGTATTAATTAAACAATATGCATTTTTTTGTCCACTTTGATTTTTATAAACCGTTCAATATACTACCTAATTTTTTTATACCTTAAAGTAAATATATTTTTAAATATAAAATGAGAAAAAAAACCAATTTATTTTTTAACCTTTTAAAATTAATAAATATTATCTTGCTAAATGCCATTTTTTTTGATTATGCAATTTTTTTTTTTTTTTTTTTTTTTTTTTTTTTTTTTTTTTTTGTCCACTAGTGTATATGTTAGCTAAAAATTAATTAATAATGATATATACATATTTAACAATTTTATAACAATTTTTTTATTCCATTATGTAGGAAGACTAACCATGGAACATAAACGAAAAAAATTATCTGGTTCCGCCAACCGTAAATTAAAAGAAGAGAAAGAGGCGAGGCAAAAAGCTCTCTTGGAAAAAATGCCTACATTAACAAATTTCTTTAAAAAAGGCAAAACACTTTCTATGGATATTACAGAGGATGAGCAACACAAAGAGGAAAAAGAAAAAAATCAACAACAGTATGACAATAATGCCCAGCAATCAAATGTGAAAGAAAAAAAAGAGGACCAGAAACAACAAAACATGGAACAGCCACAGCCAGAAGATGAAGAAAGAGAATATTTAGATGAAGATGAACTTAGTAATATGTTGATTGTTAATTATACTGATCCAGCATTATGGGGAAGATTGAGCGAAGATAAAATTATAGATATAATGAAGAACATATCTAACGTAGAGGTAGATATTCAAGAACTAGACTTTTCTGCATCTAAAGTGGTCTACAAATCACAGAGCAGGTATGCTACAAAAATGATATAGACGTTTACAAAACGGAAAACAACAAAAAAGAAACTGGCTTTTATACTCAAATACTTCAGGAAAAGTATATTGCATCCCTTGCAAACTGTTTGGTAGTGCCAATAATCCATTTAGTGCAGGTTTTAACGATTGGAAACACAGTGAAAAAATTTCGGACCATGAAAATTCAGCCCTTCATAAAGAAAACACCCGTATAATTGTGAACAGATCTACAGAAAAATGGGAATATTTCAAAAATTATTCTATTATATCAATGGAAAAAAATACGAATTACTGGAAAAATATTTTAGAACGTATCATCGAAGTCATAAAATTTTTAAGTTCAAGGGGTTTGGCTTTTAGGGGAGAAAATCAAACTATTGGTGATAAACATAATGGGAATTATTTAGGGTGCTTAGAACTTTTAGCAAAATTTGACCCTATTTTGCAACAACATATATTTAATTTTGCAACTAAATGTACTGGGAATATTTCTTATTTATCTGCAAATATTTGTGATGAGTTTCTAAACATATTGGGCAGAAATGTTAGATGTTTTATTATCACGGAACTAAAAGAGGCAAAATATTACTCTATTATAGTAGATTCGACGCCAGATATTTCCCATATGGATCAATTAACCATTGTCGTAAGATATGTCAATAAAAATGGAACACCCGTTGAAAGGTTTTTAAAATTTTTGGAGAATACTGGCCATAAGAGCTCAGAAATGCAAGACTGTATTTTAAAGCTATTATCTGATTTAGATATTAGTTTGGAAGATTGTAGAGGACAATCTTATGATAATGCCTCTAATATGTCGGGTATATATAACAGCCTCCGAGCACGCATTAAATCTAGAAATAATCTTGCCATTTACGTGCCCTGTGCGGCACATTCTTTAAATTTAATTGGACAATTGGCAGCTGAATGCTGCATACAAGCAACTAAATTGTTTTTGTTTCTACAAAACTTATACAATTTCTTTGCCGCATCAACATCAAGATGGAAAATTTTAAAAAATACGCTAACAGCAAAAAATAAAGTTCCCAAAAAATTAAGCGACACTCGTTGGTCAGCAAGAGCTGATTCAGTGAAAGTAGTGGTTTCGGGCTATGAAAATTTTAAAAATGCTTTAACTAAACTTTACGAAGATAATTTTCAAAAGCCTGCAAACAAAGTTGAAGCCCAGGGGTTGTTTTAAATGAGTTCAACTCATTGGAAACTGCTATTATGATAGCATTTTTGGAGTGAAATATTGGAAACCATCGATAAAAACTAATACATCGCTTCAAAAAGTTGATATTACAATTGAATGCATTGTTTCATTATATGCTTCTTTAGAAAAATTTGTACAATCGAAACAAAATATAGATTCGTTTAACCTTTACAAATCAGAAGGTATAAAATTATCTGGCTGTTATGAATACAAACGGTTACGGAAAAGAAAAAGACAGTTCGACGAAAATACGTCGGAAGAAGTGCAACTGATGATGCAAATGACGAATTCCGCATAAAAACATATTATGCTATTATTGATAAAATTCTAGCAGAAGTACAAAAGAGAAAATGTGCATATGTTGACATTTATTCAACATTTGGGTTTCTAGTTAATTTTAAAAATATAAATGAAGACATAATTAGAAATAATGCTGCAAAGTTGTGCGAAATATGTCAGAATGATTTAGAAAACAACTTTATTGAAGAATGCCTACATTTTAAATATGTGAATTTATTGGAAAATACCGAAAATATATCTATCGCAGAACTAAGTTTAAAGACAATAATCGAGTTAAAAATTGAATCTACATTTCCAAACGTAACCACAGCACTGCGCATATTTTTAAGTATCGCCACAACAAACTGCAGTGGCGAAAGATCATTTTCAGCAATCAAAAGAATAAAAAATTACTTACGATCTTCTTTGGGACAGAGTAAACTCAATGATTTAAGTATTTTGTCTATTGAAAGAGATTTATTTGAAAATTTAAATACTAGTGATATTATGATGATCAGTTTGCCAAAGAAAAAGCCAGGAAAGTAAATATATAAGTTACATTTGTTTAGATTAAGGTGTGTTTTTGTTCTTAAATGGTTTTTTTTATTTATTAAATTTTATTTTTGTTTATGTTATGCACTGATGGAGAAATCATATAATAGTTCTGATCAAGTTCTAAGGATTAGACTAAAAACTGATCGGAACTGTCATTATTGAGATAATCCCCTCAAATCTGGGTAAACATATATACCCATCTTTTAAATAAGTGACTTTAAAGAAAAGTTACAATAAAGATAACAGTTTATTATAAAAGTAATAAATAGTTTTTTTCTAGTTCTGACACTTTTGTTTTGTATAACTTTTCCGACTCCCATTTGCCATTCTGTGTATTTTCTTAGGAAGAAGGGCGCATTATTTTTAGTAGCCCATGGGCGCCGAATTCCTTAAGACGGCCCTGAGTGGACTGTACCTTGAATTTGTGTTCCAATCAAGAAGGGCATGATTACAGTGGTGCTGGGAACATGTCAATTGGAATGTGTCTGACTGGGACAATGTCATGTTTACTGATGAGTCAAAATTTGCTTTGGAGCCAGATGACAAGCATATAAGGATGTGGCATGAACAACGAGCACGCAATCAGTCCCAAAACATCACCGAATATCACGCATGCCGAGGCGCAAGCATTATGGTGGGCAGGGATTTCATTAGGATACTGCACTGACCTGCACATCTTTAAATGGTGTTCTTTGACGGCTTTCCGGTATTGAGATGAAGTCCTAGAACCCATTGTGAGATTGTACGCTGCAGCAGTTGAACCTACTTTTATTTCAATGAATGATAACGCACGTCCCCATAGAGCTGACATCGTCGATGATTACCAGGAGGGCACATTGAAGGGGTTGCACGTATGGTGTGGCCAGCATATTCGCCTGACCTTATTCCTATTGAAAATCTTTGGGATGCTCCGGCCGTGCTGTATCTTCACGTTTCCCACCTCCAGCCACTCTTATTGAGCTGGAAACTGCTCTAAAAGAAGAATGGCGATTGCTTAATTCTGGGGTGGTTGACCACCTAATTGAAAGCATAGTCACAAGGTGTAAACTTTGTATACAGATGAGGGGGAGGATCACATACACTATTAATGTCCCTTTTCATTTTATGCTGTTTATTTTCACTTTATACAAATTTTGAAATTTTGTTTAAGTTTCCAGTATGTTATTATCTGATAACTTACAAAAATTTAATATTGTTTTCATTTCTGTATATAATTATTGATTTTGTTTTATGTCTAAATATATATGTTACCCTCCTGCCAAATTTTGTATAAATAAAAGCAGTTTTTTTTTTTTTTTTTTTTTTTTTTTTTTTTTTTTTTTTACATCTTTGTGCTTAATTTTTGGAAGTGAGTGTATAATGAATATCATATATATATAATGTTTAATATTTGCAGTGCCAAAGCTGTGCATGATACCAAATTTGTGCATTTCCTCTTTTATTATTATTATTATTATTATAGATCACTGTACACATAAGAGAAACAAAACAGTTGTTTTAATTATTTATTTTACCTTATGTAGTTTGGATGTATGGCATTCATGTTCTTAATGGTTTGTTTATTTCATTGTAGACAAGTAAAGCCTTACCCTGTGAAAAACTTATCCCAAATAGTTCGGATGGTTTCATAGAAGTATTTATATCAGCAGTGGAAAATCCAAGTAAATTTTGGGTTCAACTCAGTGGATCAAAATCTATACAGTTGGACAAGCTTGCCACTGAAATGACAGAATTTTATAGCGATGAAAAAAGTAAGGTCAAATGGCAGTTAAATACTATCAGAGCAGGGGATATAGTTGCTGCATTTTTTGCAGGAGATAATAGTTGGTATCGAGCGCAGGTTGTTGAAGTTTCAAATGGAGAAAAGGATAACGAGAAACAGATACATGTTTTTTATCTTGACTTTGGTGATAGTGCTGTTTTGAAACCCAATCTGATTGCTGTGCTAAAGCCAGACTTTTTATCTATACCTTTCCAAGCAATAGAGTGTTGCCTTGCTGATGTGGAGCCAATAAAGGATGAATGGTCATTAGAAGCCTCAGAAGAATTTGAAAAGCTTGTCTATTTGGCTCAGTGGAAGGTGATAATGGCCAAACCAATTAATAAAGTAAAAGAAAATGGCTTCACTTCTTCACGGGATTCTATTGAATGGGTTGAACTTATAGATACTAATGGTGATAAAAACATAAATGTAGCTGAAGAACTTGTTTTGAAAGGCTACGCAAAATTTATTTAATTGCATATGAAGACTATTAATAATACTGCTAAAATATATTTTAGTTGTCATAGAGGACAGTTGAAGAGTTTGTATTTTTTAGTATGTTGAAATTTATTTTTAGTAGACTTTAAGAATTTAGCATTCACATTTTCCTGATATAAAGTGCCATCCAAAAAATTTTTTAACTAATTTAATGTACATTGCAGTCTGTATTTTGCTTTTCTTAAATTGTAAAATTTCTATTCTGTTTTAGAATTTTCTCTCCTTAAAGCAATGATATATAGCTACAAAATATATTTTGACCATGTGTGCTTAAGATTAAAAAAAGTCCATGATGATTTTGCTTGTTACATGTTATTTCATGAAATGGAAATATTTAAGTAGAAGTTAGAAATTTTGTTTGAAATGTATTGTTAAATTGACTCAGACAAGAAAAAGAGTTTCTCATCAGAAAAATTGATGTAAAAATAGCTTTTTGAACAGAATTTTAATTCAGCTGATAGAAAATTCAGTTATTTCCGAACTTTAGTGCTATGTATTGCATTCGACTGAAACATAGTCTTGTAGATAAAATCGGTTAAATAACTTCTAATATATATATATATATATATATACCGTAATTTCCGAAAGAAACGCTATGGCATTTACGTGTTTAAAACTTAAATTTTCAGCGGGTGCGGCGTTTAGGTGCGCTAAAAATAAAATATTTCCTATCATGGTCATTGTACATAGTTTGGATGGCCTTGTCATTGTGCATACACTGGTGCTGTTCCCACACAAAAGACCACTCAGTTGCTTTTTGCGAACGCTATTTTGTTTACATTCTTTCCCTTGAACGGACCTACATGCCTTATTCACCCTAAACGAGATCTCAGAACAATAACATTCTTCCCCCTTTCAAATCAACATTCTCATCAGTTCGAATAGCCTCTCTCCTCTGCCATTCGATGAATCTTCCAGGACCCATCCTCTCCCTGCCTTTTCTGCAATTTTTTTCAAAGGCGGACACGACTCCACCTGTCTTGCAATAACGAACTCTGACGTATTTCCCCTTCAGCATGAATGGATTTATCTTGGAATTCTGCCAGATACAGATCCCATCAGTTTGGGTACAAGTACTTGTTGGTTAGTTTTTAAGACTAGCATCTACATCCCAAAACGGCAGCCTACGAGAGAGGCGATTCTATTATTTTCATCGGGGAGTAGGGGAGTTAGAATGGTTTTCTGAGGAATGCAACGGCAGTGGACTAGATGTTTGCTTACATTTGGAAGTTCAAAAAATCGCTAAGGTGGATTGCCTAAGATCCCAATCAGATTATGTTTCGGCTACGCGGGACTTGACGTCGAAAGGGACAATTCTTAGAACCCGCACAATTCCAGGAAACACAAGTAGCTAGGTTCCGTTCTCACTTACTACAAAGACTTGAACACCAAATAGTAATCGATTATTGCTCAAATTGGGATCACGTGATCCTTCAGAAGCAGAACTTTCGTCTGATCGGTTGTCTCTACCCGGGACCCGAGACATTTTCGGTCAGGTTTGAAAGAATCCCTCGTAGCCGCAACATAGTTTCTGTAGCTAGGCGGGACTTCGCTTCAGGCATGGCTCTTTTTTCTAGGAATCCTCCCGGTTAAATCAGTGCCTCCAGAATCTCGTTTCTCAGAAAAGTCCCGTCTAGCCGGGACTGTAGCCAAGTGTGATAAGGGTTTTAGTTTCTACGGTTACTTACAGGGAAATATTAGGCAGTTTTTTCGGTTTGCTGATAGAGGGCAAATAAACAATTTACCTTTATAATCCGCGTTTATCTATTTAAACTTCAGATGATTTAAGATGAAGAGAATATATTTAACACAACAGAACGCAAGCTTAAGACTTGTAAATCTTTTAAAAAAACAATACATCAATAATTAAAAATATTATTTATAGTTCATTATTAAAAACTTAACTGGTATGTCATATATCAGGACTTAGGTTGAGTTTCTGCATCTATACGGCCCACGACGATGTCACGCGCAATTTAATCTATTGCGGCGTTTCTGTGTAATTTTAATTTTTTTCCCGCCAATTTTCTTGAGTGCGGCGTTTACGCTGATGCGGCTTTTCTTCCGGAAATTACGGATATATATATATTATTTGTATAATTTGGAGAATTATCAACATCAAATCAGTAATATCAATCACTCTTTTCATATTAGTATTTAGAATCATGAATGAATGTAAAAAATATATATATGTGTGTGTATATTATTACTCCTGAGGTTATTTTTATGTTATTAAAATGTCTAACATAAATAGTTATTACAGTACTTTTTATATTTATGTATTTGTTGTCAAGCTCAGAGAAGAATTTGTTTACCAAAAATGTGAAAAAAATTAATTTTTATACGATTTCTATTTAATTCAGTAAGTAGCTATTATTAGTTCTCTTTTTATTTATAGAAATTTCTTAATATGTGATGTTAATTCTGTTATGTGGTGAAATTCCATTCAATCTGTGCCAAGTTAGAGTGTATTTATGCCAGTTATCACCAGTTTTTGCTCATCTTCATAAATTACTCTAGTTTGGCAAAAATTGCATGCTGACTTATCATAACCCTAATGTAATTTGATAACGTTGTGTAAGCAAAGGAGTGAACACATTGCATATCAAAAGATTATATTTATATCTATATTATTTATTTTAATATGCTGCTCAATGTTTTTATCTAAACCAGTTTTCCCAAACTATGAAGAACTGCCCCCCCCCAAAAAAAAACACTTTTCTGTGCATATTTCCATAAAATCCTTATCTAGTGTTTTTATAAATAAAAATTGGTATTCAGATCCTGTCAAAAGAATATATTCATTTCCCTAACAGTAATTTTATTTTAAACTATTGCACTAAATTCTAATAATAAAATTTTAAAATCAGTTTGCCCTTTGTTTGCAGTAAGCTCATGCATGCCGTTTGTTATGCATTGATGCATATTTAATATGGAGTACACACTGCAGAAACTGCATTTTTTAGCTCCACTAGACTCCTTTTTTTATTGGCATTTATATGAAACACTAATAATTTTCAAAAATTTTTCATAGATTTGATGCTGCTTGAACTATTACTTCTTAGCAGCAGCATCTTCAGTTGGAATCTATCGAATATACTTCAGAAATGCAGCAAGACAATTCTGAAGAATTTCTGTATATTAGCTCATGGAGTGTTGAATTCAGCATCAAAGATGCCAGGAAAGGAAAAGCTTCCCTAACCATTCAGGTTCTGTCACCAAAATTTTATTTTGGCAAGAAAAATGACTTTATCCTCAGACTGAATCAGTTAAAATTATCTAGCTCATCAGGTTGAATTTTAAGTTGAAGATAATTGGAATATCATGTGATGTTAATTCTGTTGTGTGGTGAAATTCCATTCAATCTGTGTCAAGCTCGAGTGTATTTATGCCAACCATCACCAGTTTTTACTCATCATCATAAATTACTCTAGTTTGGCAAACATTGCATGCTGACTTATCATAACCGTAATGTAATTTGAGAACATTGTGTTAGTAAGCAAAGGAGTGAATATATTGCATATTGAAAGATTATATTTATATGTATTTTAGTTATTTTAATATGCTGTTGAATGTTTTTATCTAAACCAGTTTTTCCAAATAATGCAGAATCGCAATAAAAAATAATAAATTTAAAAAAAAAAAAAAAAAAAAACTTTCTCTGTAGATTTTTACAAAATCATTATCCAGTGTTTTTATACATAAAAATTGGTATTCAGATCCTAGCAAAAGAATATATTCATTCACACTAACAGTAATTTTGTTTTAAAGTATTCCACTAAATTCTAATATTAAAATTGAAAAGTCAGTTTGTCTTCCCCCCCCCAAGTAAGGTGATGAATGTTGTTTGTTATGCATATTTAATTTGAAGTACATACTGCAGAAACTGCATTCTTTAGCTCCACTAGACTCCTTCTGTTTGTTATTGGTATTTACATGAAACACCAATATTTTCAGTCATTCCATAGATCTTATGCTGCTTGAACTATTAGCAGCAGCATCTTCAATTATAATATATCAAAAATAATTCAGAAATGAAGCCAAAGAATTCTGAAGGATTTCAGTATATCCACACTGTATATTCATGAAGTTTTCAGTTCAGCATCAAAGATGTCAGAAAAGGAAGAGCTTCCCTGACCATTCAGGTCCTGTCACCAAAGTTTCATTTTGGCAAGAAAAATGACTTTATCCTCAGATTGAATCAGTTGAAGTCATGCAGCTCATCAGGATGAAATTTCTTTTAAGTTGCTGAAGATAATTGGAATAAAACAAACATATATTGTTGGCATAAAATATACATTTATTTCATGCATAAAAAAGTATGTTATTCATTACAAATGTGCAAATAAAGTATATTTAGAATACAGTTCTATCTCAATCCATTTGTGATCCATGTTATCATGAGTAAATGCAAGACAATGAAATTTGTCATTACAAATTCAGTGCCTACTTCAATTTAGCATTTTGAAGGTATTGGAAACTCAGGAATAGTATATTTTGAAATGTTCTGTGAATATTTTCACTTTGTTCATTGACTTGGTCAAACTAGACAATATGAAAGTGTAACAGTCATTCCAGACCTCTTCTTTTCAAATGATTTTCGGATTATACAAATAATTATCAATTAGACCCCGAGATCAACAGAATGTCCATGTAATTTGCCTTGCACTGATTCCTGAATCATGCATAGTTTAAGCTTATTGTTTTTCATTTACCAAAAATGTTCTTTCCATTTTCTGTTTCCACAGAAATCAAAACCCTAGAGACAGAGAGCTTCTTGCACTTATGTCTGCTGTTAGTTTTTCACCAGCTCTTATGTAAAAGTGATAGTCCAGCTTTTGTGCTCTAGCTAGCCATTGCTTTAAACTTACATGCCAGTAAAATAACTGAGCCAACTTATTCTAGTGAATGTGTAGTCTTAAACTATGTTATCAGCATTTTGAATTGCATGTTATTGCTTAATTTAAATCATCATGAGTGGTGGTTTATCTGTAGCATGAGTTATGTCTTATGTTCAGTTCAAATTAAAATAAAAAGTTATTTTAAACATTCCTTAGTACTTTGTGAGTTTTGAAGATGTAGCAATAATTCTCTGTCTTGTACAATAGGGTCTATAGGACTTAATTTTAGTATCCAGATCAATAGCAACCCTATAAGTGGCAAAATCAGTAACTGGATGTATTCTTTTAATGCAGTTTGAAACATTTTCGACTGTAAAATTATTAGGGAACTAAACCTGAAATTAAAAATATGGTTTATGATTTTATTAATTAATATTAAATCATGCAAATATTGTTACTTAACACAAAAAAATTGATAGCGACCTGAGGGCTTAAAATTAGAAATAACATAATCTTTTGATAAACAGGGTATGAAACAGAAGGAAAGGAAAAGAGTTCAGGAAATGTAACTTCACTTCATTCAATAGTATTTTTTATTGTTCAAAATAGCTGGTGTTGGCAAAAGGAAAATAAATGCCACATGAAAAAATACATTTAAGTGTGATTGCTAATTTACTGCTTGTATTTATATGGAGGTTTGATATCTCCAAAATAAATCAGAGGATCATGCTTGTGAAAAATTTTACACTACTGTTATAAATAATAGACTAGCATGAATGTAAAAATGTATATTAATGTGAGAATTTTCATTCCTATGGTCTTTATAATGG